ATTGGTTTTTGCGCGTAGAAGCGTCGTTTAGAAACGCGAATATAACCGTCGATAGTACTAAAGTCGACCACCTTATCGCTAGCCTCGATCCAGAGGTCATCTCGCATATCCGAGATTTGATTCAGGCGGATCCACCGCCCGATAACTTATACAAAGCGCTCAGAGACAGGATTATCGCGACATTCGCGGTCTCACCGGAGGCCCGTTTACGGCAATTACTAAAGGGTCAGGTCCTGGGGGACCAGAAGCCCTCTCATTTACTAAGTCAAATGAACCAGCTCAACGGTGGGCAATGCAGTCCTGCCGTATTGAAATCTCTCTTCATCGAGTTGCTTCCCGACGCGCATAAGACCATTTTGGTCGCAATGAACGAACCTGACCTGCAAAAACTCGCGGGAATCGCGGATAAACTCGCGGACATCAACGCTCCCAGTAGCGCAGTCGCCGTAGTCGCGCCAAAAGAATCCAAAGGCGCTCGTCCTAAAGCTCCTTTGAGCACTGCCGAGCAGTTAGATATGCTTACCAAGCAAGTCCAGTCTCTGAGCACCTTGGTCGCAAACTTGCGCCAAGAGCGATCTACCCCCCGCAAGCGTAATATTAAGCGTGGTGATAAGACAGTTAAGTCTGAGGTTAAGACAGGCTACTGTTTCATTCACCGTAAATACGGGAAGAAAGCCACGTCCCTGCCGCAAGCCTTGCTCGCGGAAAGATGACGCGGCGGAAAACTAAACCGCTCTCCCCGCGAAGAGACGGTCGGGGATTCCGGGCACAAACAAAGCCGTCTTCACGTTTTCGATCAGGTCACTGGTCAACGGTTTTTAGTAGACACAGGCGCGGAGATCTCTCTCCTTCCAGCGTCCCTACGCGCTAAGAAAACGCCCTCAGAACTTAAACTGTTCGCAGCGAACAATACTTTGATAGATACGTTCGGCGAGCGTCGTCTTACCTTAGACTTAGGCTTGCGGCGTCCCATAACTTGGACTTTTCGCGTGGCAAATGTGCCTTTCGCAATCCTCGGTGCAGACGTGTTGACTCACTACAAATTAACGGTCAACCTGCACAAGCGTCGTTTAATCGACAGCGTGACTTCCTCGTCATCGTCCGGACAAATTTTAGCGGTTCCGGAAAATAAAATATCGTTAGTTAATAGCGACAATAACTTTGCGGACATCTTGTCGGGATTCCCCGAGGTTACCGGTCGCGGTCAGGCACTCTCGCCTGCCGCATGTGCTGTCGAACACCACATTGTTACGAACGGTCCTCCCGTCGCGGAGAAGCCACGCCGGTTACCCCCCGATAGATTAAAGGCAGCGAAGGCAGAAATAAAAAGGCTGTCTGAGTTAGGCATTTGCAGGCCGTCCAGCAGTCCTTGGGCTAGTCCAATCCACCTCGTCCGCAAAGGCAACGGCGATTGGCGATTATGCGGTGATTACCGTCGCCTAAATGCCGTCACGATACCGAATAAATATCCGATACCGTACTTGCATGACTTTACCTCAAATCTATTGGGTAAGTCAATTTTTACCTCCCTTGATCTCTTCAAGGCCTACCATCAGATTCCAATGGCGAAGGCCGATATACCGAAGACGGCCATCATCACGCCGTTCGGTTTATTCGAATTTGTTTCGATGACATTCGGTCTGCCGAATGCCGCTCAAACCTTCCAGCGGTACATTCACCACGCCCTACGGGATCTCGACTTCGCATTTGCTTATATAGATGATATTCTTATAGCGTCTTCTTCTATGGAGGAGCATAGGAAACATCTAAGCATTGTCTTTCAAAAACTCAAGGAATTCGGGTTAGTCATTAACCCGTCCAAATGCGTATTCGGTGTAGAGGAGTTGACTTTCCTCGGGCATCGCGTAAATAAATTCGGTCTTAAACCCTCTCCGGATAAAGTGGCTGCCATTCGGGATATCCCGAAGCCAAAGACCGTAGCGGAACTTCGTCGTCTTTTAGGCGCGTTAAATTTTTATAGGCGCAGCCTTCGACATGCCGCTCGCGTACAAGCCCCACTATACGCATACTTGACGGACTCGCGGAAAAATGACAAACGTGAGATACCGTGTACTCAGGAGGCCGAGACCGCGTTCGACAGGGCCAAAACCGACCTTGCTAACGCCGCGTTACTCGCACACCCGTCCAATTCTGCCGACACTTGCGTCGTGTCGGATGGTTCGGACTTTTCCATGGGTTGGGCCCTTGAGCAATATACCTCTGACGGTTGGAGACCCTTAGCTTTTTTCTCTAGAAAGTTTAGTCCGGCGCAGAGGAATTATAGCGCGTACGACCGCGAATTAACCGCGATTTATGAAGCAATAAAGTTTTTTCGACACTTCCTGGAAGGTCGTAATTTCAAAATCGTAACGGACCACAAACCGCTGGTTTATGCATTTCAGCAAAGGTCAGATAAAGCCTCTCCGAGGCAGTTACGTCAGCTCTCGTACATAGCGCAGTTCACCACCGCGTTAGAACACCTCGCCGGGTCTGAAAACGTGGTGGCCGACAACTTATCTCGTATCGAGGCTCTCCGCCTCCCGGTCGAATTCGAATTAGTAGACCTCGCCGCTAGGCAAAAAGAGGATGAGGAGCTTAAACACCTCTTGATATCAAACTCGTCCTCATTGAAACTAAAAAAATTCATCTGGGGTTCTTCCAACACAGAGCTATACTGTGAATTGTCAGGCGAATCAATCAGACCCTACATTCCAGCATCTCTCAGGAGACAGGTCTTCAACCTCTTCCATAACCCCGCGCACCCTAACGCAAAAGTTACAGACCGTGTCATTAGACAGCGGTACATCTGGCCGAACCTGCATCGCGACGTCGCATCGTGGGCGGGTAACTGTGTCGATTGCCAGCAGTGCAAAACCTCTCGTCACGTCAAACTTGAGCCGGCTCAGTTCTCGGTTCCTGACGGGCGTTTCGACCACGTCCATATGGACATAGTTGGTCCCTTGCAGCCGAGCAATGGCTTTATGTATTGCTTAACAATCATCGACCGATTTTCCCGCTGGCCAGAAGCGATCCCAATCCCCGATATTACTGCAAGAACAGTAGCCAAGGCGTTCTTTGATAATTGGATCGCTCGTTTCGGTGCACCTAACATTCTTACGACCAATCAAGGTCAACAATTTGAAGCACAGCTTTTCTCAGCCTTTCTTAAATTAATCGGTTGCAAACGCATCCGTACTACGGCTTATCACCCTGCCGCTAATGGCATGATTGAGCGTTGGCACCGCACCTTCAAGGCGGCAATTATGTGCCATAACACGCCGAACTGGGTGGATGTCCTCCCTACTGTATTACTCGGGTTACGCACCCATTTACGGATGGACACATAAGCCTCTCCGGCCGAATTTCTGTACGGTACGGTATTACGGATTCCGGGAGAATTTTTCCTCCAAGACGATTTTTCACCGGATCCTCAAATTTTTGTAGACGACTTTCGACAGCACATGCGTCAGGTGAAGCCGGTACCCGTGGCACACCATTATAAAAAGCGCGTTTTCCAATTTAAGGAATTGTCAAAGTGTTCGCACGTCTTCCTCCGTAAGGACGCGGTTAAGAATCCATTAGTGCGGCCTTATTCGGGCCCCTTCAAGGTACTCGAAAGGACGTCGGATAAGGTCTACAACATTGAAATAAACGGCAGATCCACAGCTGTATCAGTAGAGCGGCTCAAGCCAGCTCATTTTATACCGGACGACGTCTCAATAACTAGTGATTCGTCTACGTCCGACGTGACGGGCAAGCCGTCCACTTCGACAAGCGCTTCGTCCGATACTTTAAAAACGTATTCCGGTCTTAAGAAAAAAGTGCAAATTAGGCTGGATAAAAATACGACATCCTCGCGTTAGTCAAATCTTGACACGAAAACGTAAGCGGTCATCCCATAGCGCGTAAAAGTTTATTCCCCGTTTTCCATTTTAGTTATGTGAATTTCATCTTGGATACGGTCGCGTATTTTCTTTACTTGTACATCCTGCGTGCGTTAGCTTTAAGCAGCGGTACTAATTTTAAGTCTTTGTACATCCTGCGTGCGTTAGCTTTAAGCAGCGGTACTAATTTTAAGTTTTTGTACATCCTGCGTATACATACTCCCTTAGTTCTAAGCAGCGGTACTAACCCAGTCAGAAATGTTTGGTTGATACGACGTCGAATCAACGTCGAAATCTGAAAGTCGATATCTTGATCGATTCGACGTCGATCGCGTATAAAATATCAACTACTATTCGACTATTATTTCGACGTCGATTTAAGGTCAATTCAACGTCGATATAAAGTCGAAATTCGGTTGAAATAATATATATACAACCGGAAACGATTGGTCGATTTGACGTTGATCGACGTCGAATCGACGTCGAATCGATGTCGATACGACCAATCATTTCTGGCTGAAAATGCTTTATATTTCTTTTTGGTAAAAATATTTTAACAGTTCAATCATGTTTTTTATATATTCATATTTATTAAATGTTTTTGTACATTTAACATTTAATATAAATCGAGGTACGCCTTTTGCTAAAAATGTTTTTGTACATTTAACATTTAATATAAGTCGAGGTACGCCTTTTGTTGCAAATGTAATAAACAAACTTAAATAAACTTCAAATGTCTTAAACAATCTTATATAAACTTCAAATGTCTTAAACAAACTTAAAAGTTAAGTTTTTAATCCTTATATTCGAGTATAGTTTAACCCATTAGTGCATAGTATCCATTTAAATGGACGCACAAGTTGGCGCCGAAAAAAAATAAAATTAAAATTTGTTTTGCAATAATTTCATGCATTAATAGGTTGAAAGTCCTAATTAATATAGCGAGCGAGTGAGTACCCTGGTAGCACAAAATATTGGCGCAATATTTTGTGCTACCAGGGTAGCTATAACGAACACCTTGATAGCTATAACGAACTTAATAAAAAAATCGACATCTCAAAATAAAAAAAACGGATTCCGATAAAGATTTTCAGTTATTTCAAATTCGAACAAATTCTATTTTTTTCTTTTCCCCATACTGCCGTCATCCTGGAGACACCATGGGGCTTGCTTTAGCCATAACGAAGTTGCTGTAGCAATTTCTTGAATTTCTGTATCTGGTCTTTTATTCACAATGGCACCTATAAGAATACAAAAATAGTTTTTATATTTTATTGGATCTTAAAAAACTCGCAAAAAGACGGGGTGTCCCATTTTAGATAGCAACTTATTGTTAGACAGCAAAATATCTTGGAAAGTAAGCTGTTTCAAACGAAAGTTGTAGAGTTTGGAGAACAACTGATAGTGACATTAGTTTGACATTGGGTCAAGGCGATATAGCTGTACCAAGGTCAATATATTTTAAAAAAATGGAATCCTCTACTTTTTATTGTATAATTTTTTTTTTATTAATTTGAACAACTTTAATCTGAAACATTTGTCTTTGCCATACTTTATTGTATAATCTTTTTCTGTTAATTAATTAGAACAATTTTTATCTGAAACATTTTTTCTTGGCCTAATATTGTTTAAGATATTTAAGGCAAACTTGGCAACTTTTTCAATATTTAGCTTACGATATCTTGATAATTGTCAGAGGAAAAAGTGGTAAAGGACTTTTTACTTCATTTGGTCTCAGAAATATGCTGTTGTAATAGTGCACCAATTATTAACATGTTATGTTACAATACACAACAATTTTGAACAATTGGTGTACTATTACAACAGCATATTTATGAGACCAAATGAAGTAAAAAAGTCTTGTACTTTTTCCTCCGACCAACAGTTATCGAGATATCGCAAGCTAAATATTGAAAAAGTTGCCAAGTTTTCCTTAAATATCTTAAACAATATTAGGCCAAGAAAAAATGTTTCAGATAAAAATTGTTCTAATTAATTAACAGAAAAAGATTATACAATAAAAAGTAGGGGTTTCCATTAAAAAAAATTAAGTTGACCTTGGTACAGCTATACGACCTTGACTCAATGTCAAACTAATGTCATCATCAGATGTCCCTCTCCAAACCCTACCACTTTTGTTTGAAACAGTTTTTTCAATAAAGCTTACTTTCCAAGATATTTTGTTGTCTAACAATAAGTTAAAATGAAACACTCTGTATAGACATCAAGTCAATAGAAACAAAGGGAGTACAAAATTGTAAGACATCTTCAGAAGCTTTTGTATTTTTTAAAGTGTATTTCAATAAAGAGAAATTACGAAAAATTTTCTCAAAGCTGCTGAAAGACAAGTACTATTAAAGAATATGATCTGCATTTAATAACTCTTTGTATCGAAATATAGCAGTGGAAAAGCAATTTAGAGAAATTCCAGAACAAGTCTTTTATTATTATTTGTCAACTTAAAATAATTTAACATTATTATTTAATTAAAAATTATTAATTTTTATTAATTTATATAATTTGTACTGTTATATTTTCTTTGTAAATATTACTTTTTGTTATTTATGTACATATTTTAATTTTTATATTCTACTTATATTATAAAATTTTATTAATATTAATATTATTACTAATAATTACTAATAAATATAAACATTATTAATATTATTTTAAATAATTTTTAATTTTCTAATAGATTTACCTTGAACAACTTCGTATAGCGTCAGTTTTTCGAAACATTTTTTTGACAGATTTGTAGCACCTTTCAAAGTAAATTCAGATGCTAATGTATTTGAAATAACTTTCTTCAGTATTTTATACGTTGCTTCCTTAGTATTATCCTTAGGTCCAATTATTTGACTCATGTAACAAATCTACAAAAATATCAATATTTAAGTTCAAAAGAAATGAAAAAAATTAAAAATAAACATATAATCAACGGAACAAATATATTTACAGTCGCTCCTGTGTTATCATCTTTCGATAAAAATTTTTCAAACTGTTTTAATTCTTCTTGTGTGGTTTGTCGCTCGTCGGTTTTCCGCCGTTGGCTCGGCGAAATCGCGACTCTTCCACGGAGGCTGATACAGCCTTATCAGAAGGCTCGCCGTGACAGGAATTCAAAAGTCAGTGGAGTATTCGTGCACTTCTCAATTATTTATTAAGTGACGGTCTATCGAACGACGTTAACTTTACAATATAAAAGCGGTAACCGAGACAGGGTAACACGTCCTATCTTTAAGCCAACTACCTTTGTTCTGACCAGAGATCCCGTGTCGTGGCGCGGAATCCTTACGAAGAGAAATCCCCTCTTTTCGGAGAATAGACACCTGCTCTCTCCGAATTGGCGGACAAATTCGAAATAAAATGAGAGCGTTTACCAATAACGGCGAGTTTGACTGCGAAACATCTCATGGTCAAAACTGTTTAGATCGCGAGGTTTATTTGGGAGAACTAACGACATTCCACTGTCTCGATAGCTCTCTCTTTGCAAATACATAACGCTTGAGAACAGAGAATTACTGTTTGAATCCGGAACATGCCGCCCGTCTCGAATGTTCTGCATTCGATAATTGCTAATATGGCAGATTAGTGCGTACAAGCAGAGTGCGCGGCGTAGATACATTCGTGGTAATAATTACAATAGATTTACAATAGTTCGTTCGTCGTTACGCGGTAACAATGGTCATCGTTGAAAGAATTATTTGTTACCGCCCGCCATGGCAGACTGTTCTTGATCGAGATTGATGTCGACCGGAAGAAAACAGATTTTCGTAATCGGGCGCTTATATTCGGAATCGGCGGTTTTGACGGTAACAACGCGAGTCAGATTATCGCTGCCTGGATGGCATTGTGCAATTCGCCCAAGCTTCCAATGACTTGGGGGCGCCAATGGATCGCGGATCAAGACCATACGACCTTGGGTAGCTAAATTTTGAACGGATCGCCATTTCGGGCGTTGTTGCAAGGTGTGGAGGTACGTATCTTTCCACGCTTTCCAGACGCGTTCGCTAATTTGTTGAACGAGTTGCCAACGAGACAATCGTTGCTCCGCTAATTCGAGGACGCTAAAACTCTCCCCTACAACATATCTAAGTGCCGAGGACATCGGTGAGGTGTGACCTTTTATGCATATTTACCGATATAAGATTTAGAATCTATCGTTTTTCTCGAAAACTATCACTCGTACAGTAAAAATGAATAGGACATAAAATCTATATTTTAAAGAGATCTACAACTTTTATTTAAAACATTTTTCAAAATTTTTGATATTTGGTGGGATAAATGTTAAAAACCATAATTTTTATGGGTTTTTCATGGTTTTCATGGATTTCTTGTTCCGACCGCCATGTTTAAGTTACATATTCATGTTCAGAACACAAAAATACATAGACATTGAGTGTTGTTATCCCTTATTTCATATGCGTGGGTTTTCCGAAGGTTTACCCTAAATAATTTTGAAATTCAGGGTTTCGCATGGCGGCTTGAAAGGATGCAGTCATTTCTTTATCAGCGCCGTGAAACGTGGTACCGTTGTCGGAATACATTGAAGTCGGAGTTCCGCGGCGCGCGAGAAAGCGTTGGTACGCAGCTAAAAATGAGGCAGTTGAATAATCGGAAACTAATTCTAAGTGTAAGGCTTTGGTGGTCATACAAATGAATACCGCGATATCTATGTGATTTATGGCCACGCCCTTTGGCTATGCGAACAAGCAACGGACCCGCGTAATCGACACCGGTATGTACGAAGGCTCGTGAATTTGGATTGACACGAAAGTCTGGAAGTTCGCCCATAAATTGCTCGGGAACGCGAGCGTTTTGTCGCGTGCAAGTAATACAACGATAGAGCACGGAACGCACCGTAGCTCTGGCGCGGAGCAGCCAGTAATTCTGTCGTAAAATTGCAAGCGTAAGCTGAGGACCAGCGTGAAGTGCGTGAACATGAGTATGAGTGATTAGTGTATTGACTAAAGGATGTGATTTTAAAATGATTGGATGTTTGGTGTCCTCGGGAAGGCGTGACTTGCCTAACCATCCTTGGACACGGATTAATCCGTTGGAATCTAAATAGGGAGAGAGCGACGCCAACGAGCTGGATTTAGGCACGACTTGGTTTTTGTAAAGGCTTGCGAGTTCTTTGTTAAACAGCTGAGTTTGAATCTGTTTGATCCAAAGGATTTTGGCAATTTGTATTTCGTGAGGATGGAGGGCATATAAATTTCGCTTGGTAGCAATGTGAGGATTGTTTGTTTTCTCGCGCTTAGTTTTCAGGTTTTGAATGTATCGGAAGATATAGGCGGTAACTCGAAGTAATTTAGTCCATGAAGAGAATCGAGACTGTAGATCCCATGAACTTGATGCACAAGTCGCGCATAGAGTGATTGAAGCGCGTCGCTCGGTATCAACGTCTTTCGGTAGCACTGGAGTTTCGAAATTCGGTAACTCTGACCATTTATCGTCGTTAGCTTGCAACCACGGAGGGCCGGTCCACCATAGAGTGTGATCGCGGAGGTTGTCGGGATCCATTCCACGGGATGCGCAATCGGCAGGATTATCGTGGGTAGGAACGTGGTTCCATTTTCCTTCGGGAAGTAACCGTTGGATTTTGGAAACTCGGTTCGCGACGAAGGTTTTCCATCGCGACGGCGGTTGCTTTAACCAGGCGAGGACGATCATTGAGTCCGTCCAGCACCAATAATCGATTTTGTTGACTAAGAAAATGGAACGGACAAAGGTCATAAGTTGAGCTAAGAGCAGCGCTGCACAAAGCTCCAGGCGAGGAACGCTCAGGATTTTAAGGGGTGCAACTTTCGATTTGGCCATTAACAACGTATTGGTAATGCTTCCGTCAGACGAGATAACTCGTAAATAGAGGGATGCCGCATATGCTTTCGTAGAAGCGTCTGAGAACCCATGAAGCTCGATTTTGTTACAACTAGGATGATAATGAGTCCAACGCGGAATACTTATTTGTTCGAGAAGCGGTAACTTAGTTTGAAATTTCTCCCATTCCTTAAAAATCTCCGCAGGGATGTCGGCATCCCATGAGCATTTAATCGACCATAAGCGTTGTAGGAATATCTTGGCGGTGACTGTGACGGGAGCAACCCAGCCCAGCGGATCAAAGAATTTTGAAATTATCGATAGGATCTCGCGTTTTGTTTTGGCGATTGGACTTGATTGGGAAACGTGGAATTTAAACAAGTCTTGTTCCGGATTCCACGAAACACCGAGGATTTTAATAGCTTCATCGTGTTACAGTTCTTTGCGGCCAGCAAGACCATGGTCTGACGGATCGAGATCGTTAAGGAGCGCGGGGCAATTGCTCGCCCATTTGCGCAAACGGAATCCACCTTTAGAGAGGAGCGAAATTAATTGATTACGAGTTTGCTGTGCGGATTCGAGATCATCCGCTCCGAAAATACAGTCATCGACATAGGTTTGTCGTTGTATGACGGGTACGGCAAGAGGGAAAGGAGCTCCCTCATCCAAAGCTAACTGCTGTAAGACGCGGAGCGCGAGGAACGGTGCGGCGGCAGTGCCGTACGTGACTGTAAGGAGTCGGAACTCTTCGACGGGAGCCGACGGGGACGATCGCCAAAGAATGCATTGATACCTTGTATCACGAGGATCGATTAGGATTTACCGATACATTTTTGCAATGTCGGCTGACAAAACGTATCGATGTTGGCGCCAATGTAAGATGACTGCAAGGAGATTGGTTTGCAGTTTCGAGCCGACGAGGAGGAAGTCGTTTAACGACTGACCATTGGTAGTTCGGCACGAAGCGTTAAAAACGACTCGGAGTCGTGTCGTATCGTTATGTTCGCGGATCACCGCTCGGTGTGGAATATAATATTCCGGTGCTCGGTCTGGAGCTTCGAACCGACCGATCTTCTCCATGTGACCGAGTTTCTGGTATTCTTCTAGGAACGCGGAATATTCCGCGGCGGTAGCAGGAGTACGTTGAAGCTGTCGCTCCACGCGGTGCAAGTTCGATAAAGCGATAGCTCGGGAGTCGCCGAGCTTTATTGGGGGCCCGGTTCGGAACGGAAGACGTACGACGTATCGTCCTTCAGCATCTCGGTAATGAGTTGCGAGG